AGAATCTTTTTGTCGTGATGGTTGAGTAATGCTGAGGGTGTTCAACACGGATGAGGCTGGCGAGCTGTATGTTGTTTGGAACGAGGGTGACGCGCTTGGCATAGATCACCCACAGCAGCTCACGACGAGCAACTGAATCCGATCAGTAGCGGTGCAGCTTCTTCCTCCTTCGTCAATGAATCGAGGGCTCTTGAGGGCAGCCTTGATAGCTAGCTGCTTGCGGGGAGCCCTTCGTTACGTACTGGAGAAAATTGTACAACGCCACGCGCCAACACCACTGCTGCTGCGGCTGCTGCTGATGACGACCGGACACCACCACTCACCACACGCGGTGATTGTGTAAACACCGTTCGGCAAGACCGAATGGAATTAGATTTTGAAATTTATGCTTGGGAAACCACTGATAATTTTCAATCGGCAATCGGTCATAATTTTCAATAGGACCTCTACAGATTTGTAGAAAAATGTCCTATCAATTGGTTTGTTTTGAATTAAAATCCATCTGCTATTGACAGAGTTATAAGTGGTCAAAACCTGACCACTTTTCGTAACGCGTTCGATTTTGGTTTTTTTTTTTAATTTCTTGAAATTATCCTCGGAATTCCCATGAATGTTTCATTTGAATTACCTTGAAGTTCTCCTCCGAATTCTTTTCTTAATTTTCTCAAAATTCCTTAGGAATTACCCTTGGTAATTCCTATTATTTTTCAATAAAATTTCCATTGAATCCTGTTGAATATCCTAGAAATTCTACTCAGAATTATCTTGGTATTTTCCTTAGGACTTCAATTGAGAACAAATGTCAAGATCCTGGTCTCTTCAAGACTATGGGCCAGACATTTCAGAAAAATTTAACAGCAAGGTTTGTGAGATCTCAAATAATCAATCAATCAGTTTGACCGCCCACGGTTGCTGCTCTGTTATTACCAGATCAGCTGCAATTACACAGAGAACCAACAGATGATGTTTGGAACTAACATTCATCCTCAATGTGTAAGAACTGGAGATCTAATATTTAGCAATACCAGCGCCGGCTGTGTCCGAATGCAGGTCAACTAGGGAATGGGAAGGAATGTGTTGACGTGGTACTCGCTGTGAAGGAAACCGAGAAATCCTCTGCGCTTCCACGAGAAATCACTGGGATGTTGGATGTGGGGAAAGGTTGCACCGCACACGCAGGGATCGTTTTGGTAGAGCGATTATAATACACAAACACACACACACACACACACACGCGCGCGCACTCATCCAATTTCTATTTTTAGATCAGAACCCACATTGTGGTAAGTGATGCGATCGGTGTTAAAGAAGAATTTGTTTTTCATTAAAATCTAGTGGATATAGAATAAGGCAAAGTGAAAAATTGCAAGGAAGGGGACGGGCCTGGGATTGAACTCCCGACCTTCTGCTCAGTAAGCAGAAACGGTAACCACTGAGCTACCGAGCCTCGTCATAGGGTTTGTGAGATCTCAAATAAGGAAAATATCCTCTATGGACGTACATTCCCAAGTAACCACCAAACCCGTCAATAACCCGATAAGGGCCCATTTTGCAATATATTTCAATATATAGGCTTTATATCACTATGGTTATTTGGGTTTAATATCAAAAAAATGGAAAGATTTTCCATATTCTGTCCATATGGATGTAGAGGACTGAATTTAACATTTGATAAACAAACAAAAAATGGAACGGAAAATGCGTTCAATTAAGGCTAAAGCGCAATCACAGCGGAAGCGGAACGGCAGCGGAATATTCCGATCTGAGTAAGCCTACTTGTCGAATTGAAAAAAAAGTTAGAACCAAACCGACTTCGGTTAGGCATCTTGTGACAACTGTCAAACTTTCCGTTTCGCTTCCGCCCACATTGCGTTTGGACCTTTAGTAGTAAGTTTTATGGCTAAATGCTAGAGGCCCGTGCCGTGAGTATTCCTGACGTTGCCGAAAATTACGATAGCATCAGATTGCGGAGTTGCTAGTGTATTAGAATGCTTTGTTGATTATTCACGAATTTTTGATAGCTGAGAATGCTTGTGAACATTTGAGGTGAACGCCTACGCTTTTTCACATTTATATCGCTGTGAAGGAACAGAGAAGTGTTGAGGGAATTTATATCTGTAATTGCAACCAGTTCGTTTTTGTTTGTTTATCTGGTTAAGATGTTATACTTAACTAGCGGTAACCACCTACAGGCGCTATATTCATAGTCTGGCGGATAGAATTTCAAAAAGTGGAATCAATTCAATATATTTTAGACCAACAATTGAAAAGGTACTATCAACATTTATAAACAAACGTTGATTATTCTTTCCACGCCAATCGAACGCAAATTACCGGCATCATCGGATAGGGAAAACTTTCCAAAACCCAAAGATGGTATTAGTTTGCGTAGGCGAGCCTTGAGTCACGAGAAAATGGTTTCCGACATTTTGTTCGCAATAGCTGATGTGCTCTTTTCTGTTGTTAGTCGTGATTTGCTCGATTGGTTCCGCTATTTGACAGCTCAACTGGTTCCCGAGATTCTATCCGCCAGACTATGAATATAGCGACTATAGTAACCACCGACAAACCAACATGAATGACCATACCAAAAACAATAAAATGTCGGACCAAAGCACACTAATGCAAAAGTTATGAATTGGTTCGTGTCTTATCTATTCTGGACAAGTTATTTTTATCTAGAACAAAAATTCTATGGTTTTGACAGTTCGGATCACTGTACATTTAAATCGACCGTTTTCGATTTTCGGGCATAAGTCAGAATTAAGTGTCATGTCGGTTTGTCGCGGTAACCATCATTATATATATGCAAGTTTTCAAGGCTCTAAAATTCACAACAATATATACAATGACAGAGTTTGGGACATTGCTATTATTTTTTATATCTCAGACATAATGTGTGGTTTCCAGTACTAAAGACTGTACTCGAAAAATTGATCGGCTTGTAACTTTTTAGCGTGTGAGAAAAATTGATGGCATTTTGACTGAAACTAGCTAAGAGTGTATTGTTTACGCTGGCAGAATTTTATCACAATCTGTCAAGGGGTTATCGAGGTAGCATCGGAGCAAGAGCAGATTCGCCAAAAAAAATCTTGTGCGCTGTCATGGAAAATCCGACTGCGTCCAACAGATGGATCGGGAAGCACCTGGTAATCCATCATTCGACGATTTCCCGGGTGTGGAAGTCATTCAAGGAGTCCCAGACGACCAAGCGGCGGGCAGGCTGCGGCAGAAAACCTGTATTAAGTCTGTTCAAGCGTCAGCCGAATCTTTCGATCCACGATGCGGCAAAGTAGGCGATGGTTTGTCCAAAAACGATGAAACGTGCCGGCATCCACGTCTACAAGGTCCGGAAACCACCGAAACGGAACGACAAACGAAACACGGTGGCCAAAACCCGTGGCAGGAAGCTGTACCGGGAGTGGCTGACGAAACCGAATTGCGTCGTGATGGACGACGAGACTTACATCAAGGCGGACACAAAGCAGTTTCCGGGGCAGGAGTTTTACATTGCCGCATCACGATTGGCCGTTCCTGAGGAGGTAAAGAAGAAGAAGGTGGACAAATTCGTCAAAAAGTTCTTGGTTTGGCAGGTCATGTGTGGGTGCGGCAAGATGAACCAGCCGTACATCACGACGGGTACCATCACTCGGGACGAGTGCCTCCTACCCTTCCTGCGGTCTCACGGAGGCAAGACGCTGTTTTGACCGGATTTTGCATCCTGCCACTACCGTGGCCGGTGTTACAAGTTACAGAGACAACAATCTAGATAGAGCTGGAATTAGGACGTAACAGCCTTTGTAAGCAATGACTTCTCATATCTTCCACTTCAAGACCAACAATTGAAATGGCCTTAACTCCATTTTGTAAACAAACCTTGTAAAGCCATTTTCTCGCGAACCGAAACCTTAATTCGCAAACCTAAACCACAATCCGGTAGAGGAGAATTTCCCCTTCCTGTTCATTATTTGGTTTTCCTTTGCGGACTTCGGTTCGCGAGAAAATGGTCTTACAAGGTTTGTTTACAAAATGGAGTTAAGGCCATTTCAATTGTTGGTCTTGTCTTAGGGGAAGTCTTTGCCTACTCGATGGTGATGTCAATTTGCCAGAGAGAGCCATGACTTTCTAGAAAAAATCATCGAGAGAAGTCATTGTTTATAAAAACTGTTACGCCCTAATTCCAGCTCTATCTAGCAATGTTGTTTTTGTATCAAAAGACGTCAACCCACCGAACTCGCCGGAACTTCACCCGTTCGAGAAGTTTTGGGCCATCATGAAGGCCAGACTTGAAGAAATCAGCATACCGGCACCAACTTGGGTTGACATTTGCAGTGCTAGCTTTGAAACCCTCCTATGTCCTCTAATCCGATATTTCCCTATTTATTTCTTGTATTCCAAAATACCATTCCTCTCCACACTCTAGCTCGCTCTCACGAAGACTGACTCAATCTACTCGTCTTTCATTAGGATACCTACTAGCCACAGGCTGCCATACTAATTATTTACTAATAACTAATAATTAGCATTAATGTGACTCGCTATTTCGCCATTATATCCTTATATTATTCCTGTATTAAGTACAATACATCCCGCCCAAGTAACTTAAATTTAAAGCCGCATATCAGCCTTATATTGCAAAAAGGGCATATTAACGGGCTTGATGGTTACTTGGGTTGGGTACCCTTGTCGGTCAGGCAACGACCGACAAGATGGCACTGCGATATGATCTCTCATCACCGGCATACTGTTTTCGCGCGGTAATTCCGCTGTAATAATCTCCAAGAACACCGAGAAGAGCAGCGATGAAAGCGTGGAAAGCATCCGAAAATAAATGGGCCTGTTTGTATACACTAAATGGAGCAAGCGATGAAATAATAATTAACTCCGCTGTGTTTGCTTTGCGCTTTTGCCAGCCATTGCCGGTCTGATGTAGGTAGTGTGTACAACATTTAGAATAACCGTCATAAGGCAAATATACGAGAGCAAAGTTGTAAACTCACCTAGATTTGTTTGGTTCTCGAGCGCCAAATGCCCTGCCAAGATTCGTTGCGTCTGGTTTTCACTTTTTTTTTCCTCCGCAGAAATTTTCCGCCACTAGACACTGTCCATACTCGATGCCACTGACTTTTCGGAGCTGACGGCGGCCATATTTGACGGTCAAATCAAAGCAACCCGGTGTGGTGCTGTCACGCACTTTGTGTCACGTCGACTTGGATCCGGAAGTTTAACGTTCTCGCTTCGCGCGTAACTTACAATGTTTTATTCCAAACAAACGAAGAAAAAGGTTATTATTCTTCACTTGCGTTTTCTTCCAGACTTGTTCGGTTCCTGATGATGGGCGTACGTATTTGTAAACAAATTTTGAGCTGCTCTCTTCTTCTCTATTCGGTCTCGGCCGAACTTTTGATATTAGGTTTGTGGGCGTACGCATACGTGCGTAGTTTTCCTCCACTTTGCTCGTACGGAGGTTATTTTGGTTAGGTTCTTCAACTTTCGTGACCGGATGCCTGCTTTCCTCTTGTCGTCGTGAGTAGTTTTGCTGCCCGTCTCTGCTCTCTATGCCTCGTCCCCACCAGAGAAACTATCTTTGGAAACACTGCTTCGTCGCCGTTTGGGGAAAATACCTCGCATAAAATTTATTTCAAACAGATTGCTTCCACCTCGAAGAAACCACCGGAAAAATTCCTGCTGCTAAAAATCGAAAACATCCGCAGCTCTCACTAAATATTTCACACATACTCCTCCTCCGTACACGCGCGTCAATTATTCAAATCATTCACGAAAAAAAAAATAAAGCTCACTGCTGTCAACTACACAGTTGGCGCAGTGCGACACTTTCTTCCGTCGACTTTCGCCGCCACCGCAATCATCAATCTAGTTTTCCAGTTTGAATCTGAAACAACACTGCCACCCGCGCGCCTACTTTGATCCCTCGCTTCGACAGTCTTCACTTCTTTAAAGTTGCAAATTATGTTGGCACGTAACACAACCCGATCCGCGCAAGGCACAGGCTTTGATCGATAGTGTATCGATTACCACTAGACTATAACTAAAAATAAAAAATCCTTTCTCACGAGTGAAGATAATCATCCACAAATTGCACCCCGCCCGGTCTGTCGCTGAGCTAACCCGTTTCGTTCGCTGGCGATGGAGAGAGGTCAAAGCGTTTGTTGTTTGAATTGAAACAACAGAAATAAATGTAACTGCAACAACACCAAAAAGGAAAGAAGAAAAACAAGTCAAACAAGTCTCGCGACGTCCGTACGACAAGGAAGACTATTCCGCGATGCTCAACTGGCGGCTGCTTAATCGGAACTGATTTTTGTTTCGAGGAGCACAGAATGCAGCAATCCTCTGAGAAGAGAGTTTACCACACAGAATCGGCTCTCTCTCTCATCGTCTTGAAGCAACGTTGCCAACATTGGGGATTTGTCGGAAATGTGTGTGACCGAAAATAATCACTACACAGCTAAGCATCTAAAACCATCTACTCGCATCGCAAATCTTCATCAATCTTCTATCGATCTACTGATCGCACGTGCATCTCACGACAGTTGAACAAAATCTGTTCTGCATCTTTTTTAGATGGAATCGAGGAGAAGATTTTGATATTTGACGTAGAACTACGTCTTTGTGGACTAAGGGGTGCAAATTGAAAAAAAAGTGTGGCGAAATAGTGTTAGGTTTTGAACGCTTGTAACTATGTCATTTTTAAATGAAATTAAAATCCAAATTCATCAATTAATAGGAAATAACTCTACGAATCTGCCGAAAATAAAATACTTTCCAGTTTTTTTTTCAACGTTTGAAAAATGTAGAAAACATAATTTTATCACTGTTTTCATGAAATAAACGGTTTCCCCAAACCCAGTCGTCATAATCGAGTACCACTTGGTTACACATCGTTTTGCTTGAACCTGAAAAGTTATAAAACAGCACTGCTGCCGTGCCTCTGCTCATGGATTCTTTGCTCGACTGTTGAGCTGTTCAGTCCGTATTTTCGCTCGAGTTCTCGTTTCGATTTTGTTTCGTTTTGCACTCAAAAAATTCCACACGTTTAATCGAAGAGTTTAAACACTTGATTTTTTGAATGCACAATCACATTTACTTTAAGTGTATTTCACCTTGGTTCAAAATGTTATACACGTTAATTTATAGTGTTTCAAACTTTGAAATGTTGAAAATCTTTCACTAACTATTCATGTGTATTGCACATTGAATCACACTACTGTTCAAAACAGATGGATTTAAAGTGTTTTGCATTTCAATGCGATGTTAGTTGCTTGCTCAGAAAGGTAAACATCCAAAACAAGAGTTGTGACTTTATCCTATCAACCCGCCTCATATATATTAGAACAACCGTGGCACAGTGGGATCGAACGAAGATTTCGGCAGCAGCACACCCCCAACAGTCCATGATCGAATCCCAAATCAGACCCATTCAAAAGATATGTGTAAGCTCTTGGCCTCTGGCAGTTTTGTTTATATATTTGTCGATTCATTTTTAGGGTCGGCAAAGTAGAAATCGATAAAGTAGAATATTGTAGAATATTGAACTATGATGTGCAAAGCTAATGATATCACCATATGAGGCACACATAATCCAAGTGTGTCACAATTCAAATCCATAGTGTTTAGGCATGGTTCATAGCATAAGATTCACACATGAAATATATGTGATTCACAATAAGCGCAAAATTAAGTGTGAGACACATGATGATGACGGGTAGAATTTTTTGAGTGTGTGCTGTCGTGGAAGTGTTGCCACCTTCTCGCGTTCTGGCAAGTTTACTTGAACTTGCAAACACGAAACAAATGGTGCGTAAACGTGCCAATGAGACAGCAGCGGCCCCTTCAAAGAAGGTGCTAATCAAGCCCAGCGCGTCGCAGGATGACGCCGGAAAACGGGTACTGCAAGCCAACCAGTATGCAGTACTCCCGGAAGAAAATGGCGATGGTGACGCCATTCCCATTGCAAGAAGAGAGAGGATTCCCCTGCTTTTTACACCGGTGAAGGATGTTGCCAAGCTGGGTACCGAACTGGCAAAACACAAGCTGCTGCCTCGCTTCAAGCTTTGCAGCATCGGTACCAAAATCATGTGCTCCAGCCTGGAGGATTACAATCAAATAGGATGTTTCCTAAAGGACAACAACGTGGACTTCTTCACGCATGATATACCATCGAGCAAGCCACTGAAGGTGGTTTTGCGTGGATTACCGTCGTTCGAGGCGGCTGCGGTGAAATCCGAGCAGAAGCGGCTTGGGCTCAAACATGAGGCCGTGTACCAGATGAACCGGCGTTCCAACAACAATACCAGCTTCCGTGACCAGTTGTTCCTGGTGCACTTCACGAAGGGATCCACCAGTCTAGCGGCTCTGAGATCCAAAATCCGGGACCTGTTTCAGGTCATCATCAGTTGGGAGCATTACAAATCCCAACATCGTGATGTAACGCACTGTATGAACTGCCTCTCCTACGGCCATGGCACCAAAAACTGCCATATGAAGACTATCTGCGGCAAGTGTGCTGGAACTCACTCGACTGCGTCCTGTGAGCAAGATGATGACATCGAGCCAACGTGTGTCAACTGCGGTGGAAACCACCAAGCCTCCAATCGCGGATGTCCCAAGCGAGTGGAGTTCATTAATATCCGTCGGAAGGCCACAATCAGCTCGGTCGCCTCCTGTACTCACGGAAGTCCAGTACCCAGCTCTCCAGCCCCGTCGACATGTTCCGAACCTAGCCCCGCTTCCACTCAACAACCAACAAGCCAATCCTGCGAGTATCCAAATGGTTCCCAACAGTCGGACAGTTCAGCATCGTCTCGCTGCTGTTGCAGCCCAGCCAATTCCAGGTTCATCCACCGCCCCTGGCTTATCACATGCTGGTGCTGTCTCAGGTGAACCTGTCAACGATTCTCCGTTCACCTCGGAGGAACTTGTGACGCTCGTGGCCGAGGTCATCATCATCATGCGCACCTGCAAGGCTCGATCTGAAGTGCTACATGCTGCCCTGACCCTTGTCACTAAGTATGGACCGTGAAGCCATCAAGATCGTAAATTGGAATGCTTGCTCCTTGAAGAGCAAAAACAACGAGTTTGTTGACTTTCTCAACGAACGGCACATCGACACAGCCGTCATTACCAAGACTCACTTGAAGCCCAAGCTGAACGTCTTCCTTTCCGAATTTGGGCTCGTAAGGCTTGACCGCACAAGCTGCCGGCTACTACCAAGCTTTCAGCTGAAAATTACCGAAGCCATCGGAGTTGAGGTGAGCACATCGCTTGGTCCAATCACCATCATCGTGGTCTACTGCCCCAAGCAAACCAACATTAGGGACGGCTCGGCCGCAGACCTCCGAAGAGACATCATCAAGCTAACACGACGGCGGCAAAATTTCATCATCGCTGGCGACCTGAACACCAAGCATCAAGCCTGGGGCAATAGTCGGCGAAACCAGAACGGCACAATCTTATACAACGATCTACAGGAAGCCTATTAAGACATCCTGTATCCGGACACTCCCACCCGGTTGAGTCGATCCGGAGCTCATTCCATATCGCCTATCAGAAACTGAGTTCGGACCACTATCCGGCGGTGACCGAAGTAGGTTCCTCGGCCAATAGGTTTTAAGTTTCCCGGTGAAATTACCATCGTGTAAACTGGCAGCAGTATCAGCGCTGTGTGGACACAGCAATCGACTACGACGTCCTACCGGAGTCGTTCGAAGAAGTCAATCAGTGTCTGCAAACCATCGAAGAGGCGATATCCCGTGCCAGGGAAGACCATTTTGGAAGATGACCAAAATTTTGAAAAATAAGTCGAGACCGATCCCTCCACTTTTCTCTGTTGACCAGAACTTGAACCCATCCCTACGCATAACCCCAGTTGAAAAGGCCAATGCTCTTGGCCAACATTTTGTGATTTCACATAATCTTGGCCAAACCATGGTGATCCCCCATGGTCCTGCCGTACTGGAGGCAATGTCTAGAGTCGCTGACACCCCCGTAGTAGAATATCGGCTGATGAGGTGATAGCAGCTATTAGAAGTACTAAAAACATGAAGGCTGCGGGTATGGATGGTGTAGTCAACCTCGAGTTGAAAAACTTGAGTATTGACTTCTTCAACCATCTTACCGTTATATTCAACAAATGTTTGGAGCTTGGCTACTTCCCTGCATGCTGGAAGTTAGCTAAAGTGATTCCAATACACAAGCCTGGCAAAGATCCTACCAGTGCCAAAAGCTATGTCCTCCATCTCGAAGCTATTCGAAAAGTTGATACTCAGCCGTCTGCTGGCGTTTTCAAATGATAATAACATCTTTCTCAAAGAGCAATTCGGGTTTAGGAAAGGCCACTCTACCATCCACCAACTCGCACGGGTTACTAACATCATCAAGCGGAACAAGTCCGTTTCCAATACATCTGCCATGGCATTGTTGGACGTCGAGAATGTCAAAGAAGCACATGGTTAATAGAGATTTTCACGTCCGGTTGTATTGGTGCGAAATGTGAGAGCGTATTAGTGAATATCCGAGGAAAATACATAACAAATCGATGTTAAACTCTTTTTGACTGATCTACTTTCATACATTTTTTAGGTTAGCCAGAGGAAAATAATAAACAACTTTACACGGCGTTGCCCCCGCTAGTGTGCGTGCGTTAAACGTCACAAATCTCTATAGAGATTCGGAAAAGTGATCAACTCTAACAAGGTACACTGTTTTGCGATTTCCAATCTCGCATCCACATATGTCCATGGAAACTTTCTGATACGGGTACGTCGGAATCTGATGACTTTGCATTGGTTAAACTCACTGATTTGAAGAGAACTTTGCACAAACATCGCTGCTTTATCTGGTCGGAGAGTCCTGGCCAAAACACCGTGTCACGGGCTAGCTTGGTTGTTGCTTCGATTCCGGAATGCGATTGATGAAGTCTCTCCAGAATCTGTCCTCTCAAACACCGTGGGATTAGAATTCGATCATTTCGTAGAACGGGACCATTGTGAGTGCTGAGTTTGTGCTTGTACTTCCAGTAGATTTGGATGGCTGGAGACATATCATCATATTTCCCTGGCCAGCCATCAATAATGCAACGGATGACAGATTGGATATCCGGGTCCTCTCGCGATCTGGCTCAAATTTCGTCAACTCGAGCAATGCACAAATAGTTTCAATATCGGCCATGAAAATGTCGTAGATTTCACGACTAGTAGAATCGTTGTCAATCTTTGCTGCTCTAGATAACAGATCAGCGATTACTAAAGGGTGATACGGTCAAAATTTGGTCAATATCAACTTG